TGACAATCAAGTATTCTATGGAATATTTTAAATTGCATTTATGTAAGATATTAAAGCAATCAAGAATGTCATGAGATAAATCTTTTAACAGATCAAAATGATTTTCTTGAATTCGATTAGAAAATGTTTATGTTCCTATGATATTATGTGACATTATTTCAAATTATACAAGTTATTAGATTAAATAATTATTGTGCGTTATTTTTTTGGTAAAAATTGAAGTTACAGGTTGTTGTGTTCATTACATTAGTTATTTTTTTTTCAATTTAAATAATTGTTAAGTACTATGATATACATTTATTTAGTTAATCAACTGAAATATTTGAATTTTTACAATCATTTAAAAGGGCGTTAAGTTAATAAACATTTAAAAGGTATAAAATTAGTCGTTGAATAGTCCGGCCACGAGACAACTCTTATAATAAAATTAATATAAAATAACTTTGAGAATCGATATTTAGATGATTTAGGGTGATATTTAGGTTTTGATATTAAGGTTTTAGTTTTATTTTTTTTATATGGCGAATTATAAATGATTCCAAGCATATGCCAAACGGCTTGTGTGAGAAGATGGTGGATATTTATAGATTTTCTTGTCAGCATTTTGTTAAATAAATTTTGTATAAATAATATGAAGACCATGTTCAACACTCAAGCCTTTTTATATATAGTCTTAGAATCACTTTTTCTAAGCATATGCAAAAAGGCTTGTGTGGGAAAATGGTGGAAATTTATAAACTTTTTTTGTCAGGTGTAACCTACCGCACCCAGGTACCTTAATAATTTATTAATTCCAATTATTAAATACAATATTACATTCTTTTAAATTCAAAAGGCTTCATTTAACGAAAAATCTCCCAGATAATTAAATCTGATTTACGACACCTAATAAATAATATCTATAACCACGTCCGTAAAAGATGCACGTGGCTGAGTTCCTCGACAAAGAAAACACCATAAGCCGTATTTCTGTTTACGAAGTAATTATCGTTGAAATACTTATCTCGCTTATTTTTTTAGTTTCGATGTTCAGACCGATATCGACAATATTTCGATACATAAAACTTTCAAGGCAAGTAATAAATAACCCACCCCCTTTTGCACCTACATTCGTATTTTCTATGAGAAGCAAAACGATAGAGACGTCACAGAAACGATTAAACTGCGTATAAAAAGCGATACCCAAATGAGCTCAGATTCACTCAATTTTTATCATTTGATATGCAAGCATACATTTTATTATCTGTACCCAGTTATATAATCTGTACCTTTCCTAAACGCTCCTCCTAAACGACGTCTATCCTACAATACCTCCTATCCCCGACGGTGTCAACGTCTCGACGCTCAACTTCCTGCCATCCTACTTCCTACGTCTCGAACGCTGTCACATTCCTCACCATCTAAGTATTTCCTACCGTACACTCATTTCGACGCTCAACGTCCCACGCCTTATTTCCGACGCTTTGCCGTCCATAATTATTTCCTTCATAATATCACGTCCCGCACCACCTACTTAATTCTACCGTATATCTGTCCCTATACAATACCGTATTAAATACCTTCCCTTCCATCACGACGCTAGACGTCTCGACGATGGACGCCTCGACGCCCAACCCTGCGACGTACCTACATCGACGCCTTCCACGACGCTAGATGAAATTAGTACATAATTTAATGTCTGTATTTTCAATGGTGAGTTAATAACAACCAAGTTAAAATTATAAAAAAAATGGGAATTTATTGTTGAATAATGATGAGTATTATTCTGTAACTCATTATTATTCAATAATGGTGAATCTTTACCTTTAAGGAATTTATTGCTAGCCGACATCGCATTTAGCTCGTCCAGATGTGTATGCTATGGGCCATATTGCCTTCAAATTAATATATCACCGTAAAAGATAATATGAGTCTGGTTACCGAACTGTCAATGAACCCTCGCAAATAACAGCTCAGCTGATTGGGGTAAATGACACATCGGACGACTAGACTCACATTTATCCGAATATGCTTGATGTTACTACAGGGTTGGACTATCTTAGATAATTATCTCTTAATCTTCGCACCGTAGGTAGCTCTGAACATAAGGGGTAGTTTGCTAGTATTGCTCTGGCTCTATTCTAGTAAGGCTACATCTACATAAAACCCCCCTAGGTGAGGCTGAAATATAAGGGATATCCGCCTGTTATTGCAACGACGGTATCTCAGTAAGCGCACCTATATAAAAAAGAAAACAACGAAACAAAGAATTATTAAAGATAGTGCAATTCTGAGGACGTCTGCTGTCTATTCTCAAGAATTGTTTAATTACAAATATTTGATGGCAAGTGGCCTGTTGTTTGGGCGAGACACATGTGAGGTCTACCTTATATTAAAATAGTCTGTACATATTTATTTTATTGGAGATCAAGAAAATAAATTAAGTTAAAAATACTTTGAGCATTATTTCATTCACAAATTTGTACCAAACTTTGCATCGAATCCTGGTTTATTTTAATTAACATTATCACAACGTGGGTATATAAATTATCAATTAATTAACTAGACGATCACTACACTACTAGAGGAAAAGGCCATATACAGTAAGTATGAATTACTTTGAATTTCACAAGGGGAGGGAGGTAGTTAAATTAAAATACGGGCTTTTAATAATTATCTACAAGACCAGGGGGTGGGAGGTCACACAGGTTTTTGTTAAATAAATTATATATAATTAATATGATGACCATGTCCGACTCTCAAGCCTTTTGTTATATAGTTTTAGAATCACTTTTTCTAAGCATATGTCAAACGGCTAGCGTGGGAAAATGGTGGCATTTTCCATACAATTTTCCTGCAACTTTCCGACTTAAGCCTTCGTTTCGTCCACATCCGATACTCATGCCAATTTTAATATTACGTCTAACACATTAATAATATTCTATGGTTAAAAAGGCTTGCATGAAAAAATAACTCAAAAATCAAAAAAAATTTGCGGTAATTTTTCCGACTCCAAAATGCACTTATCCATTCGCGCCATTCAAGCCAATATGTTTTTCGGGCTAGTGACGATGTACATATGTATTCATACTTTCGACGGGCTTGTGTGGAAAAATCAGTTAAAATATCGATTTTTCTTTACAAGATTACGCCCTTATTTCAACCCTTTAGCCACTTGCAACATTAAAGCCTTTGGTTTTTCGAAGCCTAGATCTAATAATTAATCATATAGTGAAAATGGCTTGCGTGGAAAAATGACCAAAAAACACCTTTTATTTCTGTTAAGGAAAATCGAATTTTCAATATGTTATCCCCAGGGGCCGCTCGTAAATTTGCTTTCATTCTACTCAAAATCGATGTACTTTTCAACCCTCTTCGAGGCTTGCATGCGAAAATGGGGCACCTAAATCAGTCACTATCTGACGGTCTAATATGTCTATTACAAAAGGTAGAATTAAGTAGGTAGGATGCATAATCTGTAATATTAAAGTCACCTAAAACCAAGAATTAGGCATTAAATAAAACCTCTAAAGTTCCAAAAGATTCAAAAAAGTTTTCGTAATCTGTTAGTGTAGTTTTAGGGGGTATATAAACATTAAAAATATATGTAGAACTAAAATTAACTATTAACTTGATAATAACAATATCAATTAGACCAAACCTAGGAAATGAATAATCCGAAAGATTAATTTGATATGATGTTATTTCTTCGCAAACTCCTATTAGTACACTTCCACCTCTTAGAAAATCATGTCTGTCCGATCTATATATACGAGGGTCATTCAATAAGTAAAGAGACAAATTCTATAATTGTAAAACTATTCAATGAATGTGTACAATATTTTCAGGGGTGTTTGCAACCTTGGGATATGCTCTGATCAGCTTTTTCATCATTTTATGTCAACATAACCTCAAAATTTTCAATTCATCATGGCAAGTATACTAGAAGATTGCACCTTAGAAGAGCAGCGCTCAGTCATTAGATTTTTAGTCGCAGAAGGTGTAAAACCAAGAGAAATTTTTTCTAGAATGTTGATACAGTACGGTAAAAGTATGAACCGTGTGAATTTTTACAAGTGGGTTGATCGGTTTAAAAGTGGCCGAACAAGTGTAGGTGATGAACCCCGATGTGCACGTCCAGTGGAAGTTTCTGGTCCCTCGTTGAAATCGAGGATTGACGGACATATTCGTGATAACAGAAGAATTACTGAGATGCTAGAAAACCAAGTTAGACAAGCTATCAGGAGCAAACGCCGTTGACTTTTGACAAAAGTAGTCATTCTTCAGCACGATAACGCCCGCCCTCATACAGCCCAGCTGACCCGTGATAAGTTTCAAGAATTGGGTTGGGAGGTCTTACCTCATCCTGCCTACAGTCCCGACCTCGCTCCATCTGATTTTTACCTGTTTGGAACACTCAAAGACGCCCTAAGTGGAAAAATATTTGCTAACAATGAGGAAGTTAAGGAAGCCGTGCAAAAGTGGCTTCGGGAAAAATCGAAAGAATTCTTCGTCAAGAGAATTAGGAAGCTGCAAGAAAGATGGGACAAGTGATAACTGTGGGGGGTGATTATGTTGAAAAATAGCCTTAATTTTGAAAGATTGAAATAAAATGGTTTTAAACTATAGCCATTTGTCTCTTTACTTATTGAATGACCCTCGTACTAAAGTAACCTGGAAATAAATCAACATTTTTGATCGATGAGTCAAGCCATGTTTCTGTTAACGCAAAAACTTTATATTCACTTTGAGACAAATGATTATAAACCTGACTAGTTTTTGAACGTAAACCTCTAGTGTTCTAATAAAATATGGAGATATTATTTATGACAAATACATACTTTATTTTATTTTCAGAATTATTTGATGTGTTAAATAGTTTAGGGATTTTAATTAACTATTATATCAAATTTGTATTTTGGATATTAATTAGGATTTATATGATAGTCACAATAACAGGGAAATGTATAGAAAAAGATAATTTAAAAAAAAAAAGGATCAAGAGAAAAAGAACAATGAAATTACCGACTCACCCTTCGTATACTCCTATCCTTGCTCGTCGATCTTCCATATCCATATCTTTGTACAGGTACAGGTCCACTTCGAGCGTACTCCATTGGCGGCGACACTGGTCTTCCATGCCTGTCCATCCACGAGCAAGTTTGTCGCATCTGCCAAGGGGCGCCGCCGCCGTAGCCGGCGCGTGACGTTGGTAAATTTGGTGAGCGAACGGTCATACTTAAATTTCGACACGACTTCAGCATCTGAAAATAAAAGATTAAGTCAAATTTAAGATAAATTATATCTCAGAATGTCAACAATTTAGCAATCTCATTTATCCGTTCTAAAACATTTAACAGAAATCTATTATTCTCTTCCGAAATATAGCAGAAGATCCCATAATGAACCAACTAAAATTATCCGTATAATAACAAAAAATATCAGCGATATATATTGTGAAAGCTAGAAGACCACCAATTGCGGATGTATTTTGATCAACCAACTGCTATTATTTTTAAAATTTTAAATATGACAATTCTGTCAAACTAGTTGTCAGTATATTCTTTATTTATTGAGATTAATCTTGTGCAGAATCGATAAATAATAGCATTTGTTTTTATTTCGGATGTATACTTATAAATAATTTGTTAATTTAAATAAAACTATATAAAGTCAATTTAATTACGAGTAATAAAGCAACAAATATAAAAGAATAAGTGGTCCTGTAGTAACGTTCTTGCCTTCCACGCGAAAAGAGTTCGATTCTCGGATGGGGAAAACTTTTTTCTTTTTTTTTTTATTGATTTCATTTTAAAAATTATTAAGTCATGAATTATTTTAAAATTAGTTATTTTTTCTTAATAACCTAAAATATTTTTTTATTTGTAAATGTTCGTTAGTGGGTCCAAAAAAATATACTGTACAACTCGAGTGGATTGTCCACTGTCCACATCGCACTAAGACGATTGAGCACTCCGCCTACGGCGCTTACTTGGACTTTGTAAAATAAATTATACATATGTTCAAAAAATTAGCAATATCAGTTACTGAAATAAGGTACATTTTTCATATATGTAGCTAAAAATAAGACTTCTAAAAATCTTGAAGCTAAATTAATTTTGCTTGTATTATAATCTCTATAACTAACCAAAACTCGTTCTAGCGTTCTACGTCTTCTTTAATTTTGAAATACTAGTACCAACCTTCACTTGAATAAATGATTGAGGAGACATATTTATATTAAAAAGTAATTCCTGAATCTTATATACATCGAAAAAACGAGGTCTATTGAACATGTTTAATAGAAAAAAATTTGATTGTCACTAACAAATTACTTCGTTTTCGGTTAATACCAGTAATTAAACGAATGTTGCTGGAAATGTAGTAATTTGAAACTGCTGTAATTAGTCAATTGTTTAATAACCAATAGCATATTAGTAATGAAAGGGATCGTATTTAATTCCGTCCCCGTTGAATGGCAATATAAAGCGACCACCTATTCTAGGAACCAAAGTCGAGCATGCGCTGGAACAGAATCGGAGAGTCATCGTCATAGGAACGGGAGAGTTATTGAATGTCGGTGATTGAACGTGGAGAGTGATTGAATGTCCGTGATTGTTAAAAGGTTTGGGTTTTTGTTAGTTTTATTTGTGATAAAAATGTAAGTGCCTTTTTAAATCAATTATTATGTTTCAATTACTTTGATATTATTTAACTAGTTGATGGTTCACTATTTAGATTTGAATTTCACTGTTATAAGTAATTTCATGTTATTTCTTGCAGGCATTTTTTTTGTATCTGTCATAAAAAATTGCTTGCATTCCAATAACGAGTTTATTTGATTTTATGACTTATTTTACTATTTAAATCAGTGAAAAATAGCATCCTTTTAATATTTTAATTTAAATATTTTTGAAGTTTATTGATATTTTGTAGTTATACCAAGGAAAATTTGCTATAATTTTTATTTGACCTTGAGATTATTTTTTTAGTCATTTTTAAAGTTCGGCAAGGGAAAAGTAATATTATATTAGTAAATTATGTGTTTTTCTAACATCAGATATTCACAGCATTGGCAGATCTAAGTTAAAAGTATAAAATGCCTTGTTGATTGGTACTAACATTTTCGCCCGTGGCTGGGACAACATCGGGATAGGTGTCTCGGTAACTTACCTTATTTTGTCACCAGAATATTCAACTCATAGGTGGGTAGTAAAGCTGTATAGTTTCCCCATTACCTTGTCCTTATTAACCCTTATTCAGTTTTGCATCGAGTGTGTTTGAACCTAGTAATGCTCAATGTGTGTTATCTGATGAGTTATTGTTCTTAAAATATTTATTTTATTTTTGCCTTGCAGTATTAGATATTGTTTTTTTTATATAATGTATTGAATATTATTTCATATATTTTCCTCTGTTTAACTAAATTTAAATATTATTTCATATATTTTCCTGTGTTTAACTCAAATTGAATATTATTTTATATATTTTTCTGTGTTTAACTAAATCATCAAGTAATTAAATGTGTTTTTTATATATATACTTAATTTGTCATTTGTATCCAAATTGACGTTTGATTTGTTTTATTGTATTTATTATAACTTTGGGGTTTTCTTGCTGGTTCTTTCCCCTCATTTGATAAATTAATTATTTTTTTTTATTGCACCGAACCAGACCTATATTTAATCTTTATAAATATATTTTATATACTTATAAATTTTTACTTCCTGATTCTGTCATCTATAATATTTTCAATAAAGATTAGATATAAATCAATAGATATTTTCTTTTAACCTTTACCACTCCCTCAATAACACGTACGTAGCCAATATATAACGAATTTTTCAGTCTGTCACTCGTGGTGTCCTAGTCACTTCATAGTCGATCACGCCGCCACTTTATTTATCATACTTTTATAAAAGAAAGAGAGATATTAGTTAAGTTGTCTCTCTTTATTTCAGTTGGTTACACTACAGTAAAAACTTTAATACCCACTAGCTTTCTGATTATTATTAAACTGATTTAATGGTGCCTATTAAACTCTTTAATAACAGATTGCTAACAATAATTAAATGTTCGATAACTACAAGTAAATTTTAACGATTGTTAACCCCTCCATGCTCTACGTGATGTAGATTTACAAGCTTAATAATCATTCGCGCCATAGCATGAAATGAAGAAACAATCTAGCCCTACGGAATTTAGTGTACTTGTGTGGTATGAGTAAATCATGTTCCAGTGAGCTTTAATGAACTAAAATAATGGATTATACGAAATTACTTAAGAATTGGAGATGCCGGTCGTTGTTTTGGTATGTCTTTTCTAATACAAATTATATCCATGCAAACTGTTAGTAGTACCCCACTTATAAAGTTTATTATATTTGTAGGTGATAAATCTGTGTTTCTCTAGCACAAGATTTTCAGAATTTGATTCAGTCTTTTTCTAAAAAAATGAAGAATAGGTATATTTAAAAAAATTGAAATTTTGTAAATTCCTTTTGTAAAAACTCTAAGTTTTGAAAAATATGACCCACAATCGTCCAAATAATGTAACCTTTATCTATGTAGGTATTTTTCTTGAACTAAAAATAAAAAAGAGTGGGGTACTAACCTAAGGTTTGCATATGGTTATATTTTATATAGTTAGATAGAGACAATTACCAATTATTGGAGAAGGAGATATTTTTGAACGACCTCTATGAAAGAAACTATTTAATAATCATAATTAAAGTGGTTTAATAGACAGTATTAGGACCTGCAAATATCCGTCATTAAAGCCATTAATAACAGTTATTAAGGAGGTCCTTTCGCCACCAATGTTAAATAAAAAATATTAGATTATGACTAAAATTAATTTTTTTCTAATAGTAGATGTCCTTATTTATCTAATAGTGAACTTTTAACTATACCTTACCGTGCAAATTTTTGAGAATTTTTTTTTTAAATATGTGTGTTTGTACAGTGTCTTATGAGAAAGTAAGACTTCAACAACAATTTTCGAATTATAATTAATTTTACTATTATTTATTGATTAGATGAAGTAGAAAAAAACTAAAAATAAGGTTTTTGAAATATTTAGGTTTTGTTTTTTACAATATATAGGTTACCGTGGAATTTATTGAGAAATTATTATTAAAAAATCACAAAAAATTTTCAACTAGGTTACTTGAAAATTTTTTGTGATTTTTTAATATTAATTTCTCAATAAGTTCCACGGTTTACTATATATATTTTATTGTATTAAACAAAATCTAAATATTTCAAAAACCTTATTTTTAGTTTTTTTCTACTCCATATAATCAATAAATAATAGTATAATTCGAGAATTGTTGTTGAGGACTTACTTTCTCGTGAGGCACTGTACAAATACTCACATTTAAAAAAAAAAAATTCTCAAAAATTTGCAAGGTAAGGTATAGTCAAAAGTTCAGTATTAGATAAATAAGGACTTCAACTATTAGAAAAAAAATTAATTTTAGTCATAAGCTAATAACATTTTTTTAACATTTGAGGCGAGAGGTGTGGCGAAAGGACCTCCTTAAATTATCAATAGTTGTGAACTAAATGATATTAAGCTGTTCAATATATATCATTACCCTGTTTAATAATGACTATTAAAGTACCTAGTTCATCCTAATAAACTGTATAATACCTGTTACCAAATTAATTTACTAATGATAAGCAAAGTTTCTTATTTGTTTGCTTGTGATAGCAACACTGATCACTAATATGTGCTATTAATCAATTTAGGTGTCTCATATAGTATTAAAAAATGTATTAACCGGTATTGAATTTTTAATACCCACTAGCAAAGTGTTTTCTCGGTGTACACTTGTACAGTGCAGATGTCACTCTACCACTTTATTCTATTTTGGTAGATTTAGTACGTTTAGTTTAGTTAAAATAAAACCATATAAAAAATCTAATACAGTTTTCGCAGTAGTAATTTATTAGAAAACTTTCTGGTATATCTAGGCATATGACAAAACTTTTTATTTATTTTTTTTATCTATCTGAATCGCACAAGGATTCTAAAAGCTAAAACGTTGGTGAGCGTTAAATTTACTAGCAACTAAATTATTATGATAGGGTTAACACTCAGCGATGTAACCTTTGCAATTTCAGACTGTGTTCTATTTTACGTTGTATATTTCATTCTTCTTTTTTGAGCTGTGTAATTAGAAACAATTTTAAAAGCTTGTTAGGAATTTTTTGATAATAGGTATTTAATATTTTGTAAAAAAACTTTCTATGTGGAGTGA